TTTCAGTTATGTTTTGTAGTACTTTCCACTGCTTCTTGTCACAATTGAAAAATCTCCGAACTATTTTTTTTATTTCTCCCAGCCAAGACGTTCTTATCTCCGGTGCTGACTGAGTGTATCAACATCAATTATTACATCCCAGACAATGAAATCTCCGATGCCTTTTCTGAAACACGATGGGAAAGGTTACGTAAGTACCGAATTTAGTAATTGGAAATGTAGCATTTCGTGGGAGTGACCAAATGAACTAACAGCGTTAAAACTAAACTTGTTTACGTGTCTAAATCGACGTTTGGTCATAGAAAAATAAACTTCAGTAATAGAAATATTTCTGAAATATCGCAAAAAAAAGTTCATGAAAGTGCTAATTCAACAAAAAAATTAAAACAAACCTATTTCTTGGTGGTTATTAGGCCATGCTTCTACTTTTTTTATATTTACTTACATTGTGCTAATTATAACTTGTTTAATGTAGTTAGATATTATGTAGTACATAACACGTTGAATCTGATAGATAACGTAAGTAAACTCATTTTAATATAAATCTTTGTAAATGGCTTCTTCATTATTTGACAAAAGAAATGTTGTATATATATGACAAAACTACTAAGGTTAATCTGCTTCTGTCCCTTATTTTGAATTATTGACTATTATTATTAGTGAATGCAGCCAGTCAGTAGCACGTTATCATCCACCATACGCCCTAAAAGATAGACTGTCACCCTTATAACACATCAGAAGTTTAATGTGTTGGGGGGGATATTTTGTGTTATTGTACGGATTCGAACCTGGTTCGCCAGTTCCAAAAACCTGATCTCTACCACAGGGCCAACCCGCGCTCCTGACAAAAGAAACGGGAGAATGTAAAACTTGTAAATAAGCTATGGGCATCATAGGGCCAGATGTTTTGTTGTTGTTGTTTTAGAATTCTCGCTCCCCCGCCAAAAAAAAAAGACTTTGCAAAATCGTCTCTAATTTTCAAATTATAGATAGATATAATACAACTAGTCAACAGTACCCACCGCCAAATATTGGGCTACTTTTATCTGACCGAACAGTAGGATTTGACACACCACTCTTATAGCGCATCTAAGTGAAAGTGCATTTTTGTTTCTAGTTAAGGGCCACTAATAACCAGGTTCCACCCGGTCAATTGTTGATCGTATCAAAATTATAAATGTTAAATAATTTGATACGTTACTTTATTCACACACCTGACCTTTCTGTTATGTTGTCTCGTGTCGTCTTTAGGTGTATAAACCTTAAGTCAGTATTGATTGAACGCGAGCAACTTGGTTACCTATCTGTCTGAAATAGGAGATTCGAGGCTAACTGGTGGTGCAACGTTATGTATTCCTGCTAGAAGGAGGGATCTAGATCGTCGCTAGGGTACTTAGAACTTGTCTATAAGTCTACTAAATGGGCCAACGTTGCCATGTGAACTGACTACGTATATACGTAAAAACTTCTGCATGCATGAACTAAGTTCCAAAACGTTTTTTTTTCTTTTTCTGTCATTGCGATTGGGAAAGGTTACAGATGACTCCACCGGAAACGTAAATGAAAACTTGATTAAGCCTAAATGCGTCTTCCACTTTGAATGGAGGAAGGGTGAACTTGAAACAATGTGGTTTACCATTTTTATTTTCTCTTTTTATATGCAGTACCGTCTCCTTTTGTTTGTCTTTACCCCTCCCACACTTTGATTTAAAGTTAGGTGTTCCAGGCTGGATGGTTAGAATTACAAACTGGATAACAAAACAATGCTCAATGACGTCATTTTTTTACAAATACACTTGTTTTAATAAAAGGGTTAAAGCAATACGTGGACATCATTTTCTTTGAAAGCTAAACTTTTTTATTGGAACACATTGTTCTATCCAGCTGTGGTAGTGTAACCCACGAACACCGTACCGTAGATCTCCATAATTCCTTTTACTAGAACACATTGTTCTATCCAGCTGTGGTAGTGTAACCCACGAACACCGTACCGTAGATCTCCATAATTCCTTTTACTAGAACACATTGTTCTATCCAGCTGTGGTAGTGTAACCCACGAACACCGTACCGTAGATCTCCATAATTCCTTTTACTAGAACAC